GGTTAACATCGACCAGACTACACAGCGCAACAACCCAGAAGACGGAAATATTCATACTCACCGCTGTGAGAACCTCAAGTCTTACACAGTTGATATACCTGCTTTCTAGGTCAATTTTATAGACCTAGAACTCGAATAGGTCATGATCGATTCCTTCCACATTCTTCCGTATTCATCGTTCACACGCTTCCATTTCGACTCTGTATAGCCCATACAGTTGAAGAAGTGTTCTTAAGTAAAGAAAGATGACGCCTACGAATTTTATGGTAATCGGAATACGTCCTGCGGATGTTTTGTCTGAAATCTGTGAATAGTGAAAGTTTTCGAGCTGGTTTCTTGTCTCTTGCAAGGTGGTGTATTAGTAGGACTGCAAGATTGACCACGCCGACACCGTAATCTTTAGTTTTGTGTTTTAAATTAAATACCATTATCGACACGAAACTTTAGAATTTGCGATCGCTTCCAAAGGTTTGTACTTTGTTTATCTCTTTCACATTTTACAATGCACAATATAATAGTCTACAAATCTAATTATTTTATGTATTTTGGCTCATTTTTAAAGTATATCCAAGCTTTGACAAGAGAAAATAGAAGGAAGAAGTGACGTCGTATTGTTTCGTCAATTACAAATCTCACGTGGATAAGTTCCGGTAATGCTAATTCCGGGATGCTAAATGATTCCTGTATTCTAGTCTTCCAATGTGAATAGCTTTTGCCTTGAAAATGTTAGCGATTTGTGTTATGTGGCATGAGATAAGTGTTCGTATCGGTGTTACGTTGTTGTTGTTCCTTGAATACGCCATTTTTTATTTTCATTTTCCTTCAGTTTGTTTGCTTAGGTGGTTAATGTATTCTAAAGTCCTGCAATCGGTAGTCTTAGTGTTCGGTTGTAGCCTGAAGTTGCGTTTCGAGTAAGTTCGTCTACATTCTGAAGCCATCATGTCTCGATCAGTTTCCTTTGAGGTAAAACACATCGGCTTAACGATATTTATTTCACAAGTTTGTGTTATTCTTCTGGTGTTTAATGAAGTTTGATTTTCAGTTATACTGTAATGCTTGGAGTTAGGTTTTTTTCTACGATAGTTGCAGAACTGGTAGGCCTACAGTAAAGTTCATAGAAATTGGCGAAAACGAAAGTTGTTTATGTGTGTATTTGGGTGAAAGTAACTGGTTTCGCTCGGATATCAAATTAGGCTTTTTTTAAGGTGCCAAAAGACAAAATTGATTTGTTATTTTAGACACAATTCCTATCCAGGACTATAATGGCGTGTTCTGTATCTTTAAAACCCAGCTGTAACTATATTTACCACCTGGTTTAACAATCAATAACGCAGAATTTTGTATTTAAGAGTTTCGAAGATTCTCACTGTAAACGGACTAATTTCTTAAACGGAATTAATTACTTGATCTTTGAAGTGGTGAAATGTTGTGTTTTCTTTGAAGTACGGACTGAATTTTTAAATATTATTAAGATTAGTTTCAGCTTTACAATTTTAAGATATGTATTGTGGTACTTTTCTGATACTCGCAGATATTTTAAATGAAGCAGAAAACGTTTGTTTCCCTCGACATTTACATTTTTATTTATGTTCGATTATAATATCTTCATACACCTGTTGTGTATGACAAGGAAAGAAAGAGTTGAAGGACCTGATTATTAATATTTGAGTATCGTCACGGACCGGATTGAATGTTTTGCTGTCCATAATATTCTCACACCGTTGCCTTATAAAAATGTTAGTGGTTTGTAAATTATTATTAGCGACATGTATGATGATAGGTAATTTCGAAATGTGAAACTTTTGTTGCTAACACAAATTTTTATGTAATACAAGACGGTGATCATGCGAAAATCCTCTTTGGCTTATGTTTTACAGCAATGACTGATGAAGTGTTGAATGTGAGTCAACAGTTGCAAACATATCGTCGATGCAGGACTTTAAAGTTACGTGCAACGTAGTATTTATAGTTGCCAACGATAATAAATAATCCCAGTGGAATTCGATCATATGGTAATTTGTGTGCGAGCCACGAGTGACAACTCATGTTCTAGTATAGAATGTAGTGATTTGCATCCAAATATTTACTGACGTTTGGAATTTTATTCTGTTGGATTTTATATTCGCCACAGGCTTACACTAAAGACATAACGTAATAATTAACTGTTAATTTAGGTTGTTACTGGATCAACCTCTGTAAGACTGAATTACAGGCTTAATTTGAAAGCTATCTTGACGTGCATTCCATAGACATTCGACAATATAAGCCCACATATAGAAGCATTCATATTGTCGATGTTTAAATAACGCATGTGGGAACTGTGTATCCTTGTACATATTACATTTTTTTCAACATATTAAGCGGTCTTCAGCTTTTCTTTCCACTTTCAGTTTAATTTATTTACTTATTTTTGTGTATTTTTGGTTTATTATGTTTTACATTTGCACCCTTTCCTTGATTTGTTTTGTACGGTAGGATGCGAGTGACGGGGATTCCGAGCAGAAGATCAGTGTAAAGGAACGCATGCAGAAATTTAATCGCCTTGCCGAAACCGATATGAAGACACACCCTGTAGCTAACAAGAAGAAAATTGACCGGGTATGTTAAACTTTCTTGTTTAATCTGTCCGAACTATTCCGATTTGTCTGTGTTTGTATGTTTCAACAGATGAACTTTCTGATTAATGATTTCTTTCTTTCTTTCTTAATAAAACTTCTGTCAGTAAGTATAATATTTGTTCGCATTTGGCGATCTGAGAACACCAGCAATAGAGCTGTTGCAATAGCTCCATTGCTGGTTGTTAAAAATGTGTGAATTTCAATTGCTTGGTGTAAATTTTTGCCTGACGTCATATAATCTTAATATTATTATTATTATTATTATTATTTAGTGTTCTGTCTGACGACAGGTCCATATGAACAGGATCCTTCCATCCTTTTCTCGGACTGGGACCTGTTCATATACGTTCTTGGCAGATGATCCAGAAGTGGTTTGCCATTGCCTTCATCTGTGTGTGAATGGAGTAATTGTTGGGATGCCACGGAGAAACCGGGGAAGCCCCCGGAGGAAAACTCCGTGTTGCCTAGACCACGGCCTTGCCCTGTGTTTTGTTGCTGTAGGCTGTTATGGCTGTGTGCTCTGCCCTTGACTTTGGTTCCCAATTTTTTACAAGTCTGTGCAGATGGTAACAGACCGAACTTATGACAGACGATCAAGTACTGAAGTCACCGGAAGGTCACAAAAATGAACTTCACAATATATCTATTTCTTCCATTGATTGACTATCCATCTTTAAAATCGGCCCTGCAACGTGTAGTCAGGTTTAGTGAGTTTATCGGCAGGACAAATGTTTAGTAATTTTTAATAAAATTCTCTTTGAGTTTCATTTAAAGTAGGGTTTACATTTAACCGATATTAACCATAATTATATCAGCTTGCCAAAGTTTAGGATTTACTACCAAACGTAGTATAAATCCGTGAAGTAATTTCGGTGACGAAACATGTGGATACATGTACATGGCCTCACTATTATTATAAATTTTACGCACCCTGTCCAAAAAACCTGTACAAGTTACAGTAAAATAAACCTGATTTAGGCGTAGACCTATTTCAAGATGAAGAATTTCGGTACACAACATGACATTTCCTGAAGAATCAAACATGAGCCATCATCCCTGTAGAGCAGGAGAACCTATTTCTGATGCGTCCATTGTAGCCGGAAACTGACACACACAGGGAGAATCCTAAAACAGCGAGCAAGTTCATGCCGCCTTCTGCATCATGATATCGACGACAGACTCACGTCACTGTCCTTTCTGTCAGATGTTTATCACGAAGATCTCCGAATCGATCTCTGGGCGACGCTATCATAAAGGAGTATGCGGGCTAAGCCACAATTTTAATAAAACTTTAAAAAAAGATACATTTAAAATTTTTAAGTTTTCACCGCGGTAAGTCTGAAGACGGCTATCTTCTGGGTTTTTGCGCCGTGTAATCTGGTAGAACTTTACCGACGTTTCAGAGATGCTTGCTGCCTCCATCATCAGTTGCCATGATACTGTAGTCTTTAAGCAAATAGACCCTTGTAACACCGATATTAAACGAAGTCAAGAAACACCTTATAAATTGGTATCATTAGTTCAACATGAATTCCATCCCAATCATATTCTAGCTGCTTAATATAGAAAATTTAAACAAAAATTGAGATGGCAAATAATGAGCTAAGTGGACCTAGTTTTGGTAATTTTATTGAACTGGTTTTGTCGTTCTTAATTATTAGAATCTCGTCGTATTTATTCATTTAAGCCGGCGACAGTTGAGTTGAATTTCCGAAGAGACTAGTAATTTTATTGGTAACAAGGGTCGTGATGTGCTAACGACCGTTGGGTGTAGCCACGCAGATGAAGACAGCATGTTTCTCCGGCCTTCTAGGATGTCGTGTTGGTAGACGTTTATCGACATTTCGAACTGCGATGGATTTAGAATTTTGTGACATGAAATGCTTTATGGTCGTTTTTAAAAACTGCTGGCATTAGCTTGTTTAAATACACAACTCGTTTCTTGCAGCAGATAAAAACCCATGTAATTTTAAATACTTTTTACTGTCGGGATGTTCAGACTCTTTGATACACTGCATGTGGTAAAACTGTAATTTAGTGAATTTTGTCCACAAAATAATAAAAAAATCAATGCAGTCTTTATGCAAAAACGCAAATGCTGCTTGAATATTGCAGTAAGAATACTAGACCATGTACGCATCGAGGTTTCTAGGAGGCGTTTCTGTGCATCCTGTACCAGTGTCTTTACAGCCTCCACACGCGTAGGTGGAAGCGAGATGTTGCCCAATGGGGCAATTGTTGTTGTAAGTCAGGTGTCATTGTGGAGTTGATTCATAGGCAAGAGACTTCCACCTACCGGATGTGAATGACTTTCTTACCCTTGAGTTAATCCAACGTGTGTAGTCAGTTCCATTACAAATGTCGCTGCCTCTAGTAGCTCAGAGGCTAGGGTTTGATCCTCAGAAGCGTTGAGGAATTTAGTTAGTCATACTAAGTTTTAAAGATGGTAATGGCCGGGCGCATAGCACGCATGGGGGAGAATATCTTGGCGGAAAGAAGAGATAATGTAAGATTAGAAGATAAAGACGAGTAGAATGTGAAGGGAGGAGGAAGAGGGGAGAGTAAACTGTTTACTGTGGCCAGGATCTGCGTTGGAGCCTCTGTTGCATCTATTTATCTTAATTTCCATAATCTCCTTTTGTTTTTCCAGCAAACTAATTAGGTACATTATAACGCTTTTGCGACGCTTGCCAGAATTAATTTTACAGAATCGTTGTTACGTTTTTCGACGTCACATAAAAATACAGCAATGAATTGCACAGTTGTACTTCTTGCATTATGTATGTTGATAATTGAGAGCAGAAGCGACATAACTCGTCTGTCATTACTTTGAGGGTAACTAAACTTATGATAACGATTGTGGAAAGCAGGCCCTCCCCTTGATATTGTTTTCACGAGTACATTAATGCGTATGAAATGACTGGGACATGAGATAAGATGTGGATAATCAGTGGGAAGGGACGACGAAGATATAAGCCCAATGCCAATACTAAAATAGATATTTATTTAAAAATACAAGAAGTGGGATGCCTTTACTTATGGTTCATTGCTGCCTCATGTGAAAATGACATTGGACGTTAGGTTTCCAGGAAAGACGGAAATTTCGTGACCACTCCAAAGACTATTGACTTCTTAAGAAGTACTCTGCTCATTAGATTTAGTAAATTTCGTGACCACTCCAAGGACTATTGACTTCCTAAGAAGTACTCTGCTCATTAGATTTAGTTTAGGATAAAACCTTTTAAAAATTGCGTATGAAATAATGTAGACTGAATATGACTTATTGCGCTTTTGCTGTAAACACTCGGTATTATTTCAAATAAGATCTAAATTCAGGAGACTAGAAGTAATATTACTTTGTGCCCGTTTGCCCGCAGAGACAAATACTCTGATTACTGTACCGTGGCTCACGCAGCCCATTTGTGTGGTGCCACACTGATCGGCTTTAGTTAGTCTGTATTTAATATTCATTTCATTTAATTCTGCATTGGATTGTTAGTGCTGATAATACCCTCGGAGAGGGCAGCTTCGCTATTTATATTCATAAGATTTAAAACTGGTATGTGAGACAGACAACTACCCCACTTTGCTTCTTCAGGCACCCATCAATGTGATAAGCGTCTCCATTCCTCATGAGTAATGGGAACCCAATGCAGAATATGACCAGTCATTCAGTAATTTGTTTCTTTTTTATTTTTGTATTCTCTCTTCCTACTCACTCTTATGCCTCGCCAGTATTTGTTTTACTCCCGCTGAGAACACAAATTACTTTACAATCGTTTACATTCTTCTTGTTCCTCTTGTGCTCTCTTTGCTTTCGTTATCTTGTTTCGTCTTACTACTTATTGTTTTCCCCTCGTTATGGCTTACAACTTTTTAAAACTGAATATAGTTGTGTCTGTCTGTATACAAAACTTCATAGCCCTTACATAGAGAGGCCTGCACGTACACTGTACATTTGGCATCTAGCGATCATAGTTGAAACAAAATCATTTTAACTTAATGTAGTCACATCTGCTGGAAAGTGTAAAGAAGTGGCTTGTGATCTATAAAGCTCATCACAACAATAACAAAACAACTGAGCGAAACCACGACTTTTCAACAACTGGTTAATGTTTATCATAACCTTATTTAGGAGGCCATGTTGTCATTCTGGAAAGTATTTCGATAAAATTTATTATTTGGCCAAAATGCCTTCACCATAAATATTTGAGCGAATTTAATGTTGGTCCATACTATTATCAACATCATCTGACTGACCAAAAATCAATTATCCATCTATCAGTCTGCTCATAATATAACAGCCAGTGCTAGGCACCCTTGAATGTACGAATGCGACGTTCGTGCGATGCGAAAAACAATCGAAATGTTGACGGTGGCAACTCTGGTAGCAAGAAATGCAAGCGAGACTATGGTAGTGCCTATTATGGGCGAATCCAGTGGTCGGTTTTATGTCGGTGCGTTCGAGAGGAATCGGGCTTCAGTTGCCGTGGACACGTTTTCTTTTAAAGGAACTTAACAAATGTACTTTGAATGCGATTTGCAGTTGAGATTTTAGGTTCTCACAGCGGCGAATGTGAAGGTGACTGTCTTATGGGATGTTGCGCCGTATAGTCTTGTTACAGTTTACCGACGTTTCAGAGGTGCTTGCTACCTCCATCATCAGGGCCGCCTGCACGCCACAACATCTCGGAGGACGATCATCTTCTGTAGAGAATAATTTGGTTTCATTGTTCGTTAAGAAATGTGGTTCCATGCTACTAACTTCATAGCCCACCAACGTGTGGCTTTACATGCAAGTCATCGTAGCTGTGGGTGTCCATACCAGCTAATACGTAGTCCATCTGATATTGCCTGCAAGTCTCGAAAGATTATATGCATTCATAGCTTGCACGTCTGCACACGATCTGTTAACTTTGATCCTCACCCTTGTGTTTCCTACGATACGGAACAGGGTTGCCCATCTAGTGGCTTATGGGA